TAAAACAAGCATGCTATGTTATAACAATCCCATATCCTCTGATATGTTTTGATATACTTTATTATAATTCAATATATTATGCTCTGATACGCTTTGATATGCTTAATAAGAAACAGATAAAACAAGCACACCTTGCTATATCTATCATATATTCTCTGTTTTAGCTTTAAAATATGAAAACCATTTCATATAGAATATGTATGTTTTGATTTAGGTCTAAAATGTGAAGACTAGGTCTTATAGAATATGTATGCCTACTTTGTTTGATATAATGACTTAGTCTATCTCATACGTTTTTTCGAATGAAGATAAATGAAGATAAATCTAAGTAAATGTGAGACAAATATGTCCTTAAAAAGAATACACTCGCAAAAATCAAGTTGCTTGAATGATATTACAATGTATTTGATATGTGTCTTACATCCATTTGATTCAAATTGCTTCTGCATTTTTAAGAAAAATGTCTTAAGAAGTATTAAAAAAAGAGATTTACTCTCTTTTAAGGTCAAAATTTCTAAAGAAAAATACCTTTGGAAAGATGACAGATCTTCTAAACAAAAGGAGAGTTTTCAAAAATCCATCCATCTTACTAAAGTGAAATACTTTTAAAGAACAAAGAAAAATGAACATTTCATAAATATAAAAACATGTTTGTCATCATAAAAAATGGGGAGATTGTTAAGTCAAAAGACAATCTCTTAAACTCAAAGGTTTAATACTAGGAAACAAAACATTTATATAAATAAGAAATGTCTGTAAAAATGTATTTGAACATATCTTTGAAAAACTTATCAAATAAGGTGTAAGACGCAGATTGTTTGTAAGATGTTGTAAGTCAGACGAAACATATAGTGTCTTATATATATATATATATATATATATATTATATATATATCATTTATTGAGACTAACGACAAAGTTCACTTGGAATACTTCATTCCTTAACAAATCGACTCAAAAAACCATCTTGAAACTCACAAATTTATTAAAGAGATGAATCATGTTTTCTATAAGAATCAAATCCCGAAAATCACATAGAAAAACAAATAGTCATTACTATAACTACTCTACACTGATATTGTTTCTACAAGCTCCATTTGGTATGGAAAGTTGATAAGTAGTCTCCTTGATCAAATAAGATGTACCATTTATTGAAATACATTTAATACTCACATTAAATGAGTCGAACGATCACATGTCATCACAAGGAAAAACAATGAAGACAAACAAACAAACTTCTCACTTCATTTGACTAGTCTTATTATTTCATTACGAGTTTTTGATGTACATTATTTAACCCCGTTTCTAGTGTTTATCTCTTATCCACAAAATTAAAACAACTAACAATTAAAAAGTCAACTTACTTACTAAAGGGTTTTAACTTGAGCTCTTAAAACACTACAACTTATATCCACACAATGAGATATTTTAATTTTAAAACAACTTCTGCTCTTCACTAATTTTTATGTATCTCAACAAAGACATGTATTTATACCTTATAACGACAACTTAACAACTTACGCAACTATAACAACAAATAACTTCAAAACTTAATCATCGTATCATCCTCATCATACAACTTAATCATTATTTTTTAATCATAAAACAACTTAAATAACACATCAAAATCATACAACTCATGTTTGACACCATCCTTTGGATGCTCAATCCCATTAAGGTAAGAGGCTTCATGTCTCGCCCACACCTGGCATGGTTGAGATAGAGAGTCTCACACTCTCTTGGCCCTGGAGTGGAAAAGGCCTATGCCTTACCCCAATCAAGTAGAAGGCCTCAACTTGATCCACGTTTGACGCCACTCCATTGGCGCTCAACCAGGATTTCATCCTAAAATAATTTTCTCTCCTCACACTTAACGTCATTCAAACCACGCTTGACATGATTCCAAATCGAGACGATTATCTCTCTTTATGCTTGATGCCACCAATCCTATGTCCGGTGTGAGCAAGATAGAACCCACTGGTTGAAGTCGCACTCGATGCCTTGATGTCATGCCCTAGTGTGACATCAATTTTTGCACTTATGTAGAAATCGAATTTGCCTAATCCACCTAAAATATAACAACTTGTCAAGATGCATTACGTAATACAATATATAAACAACATCCAAATCCCAATTCTAGCATCAAACATTACATGCAACCATTCTCTCTCAAGAATCATCATATCTAACTCATGCACCACTCCAAGAAAACCAAAAACCCAATAACTCATAAGCTTATCTCCATTCAATCAAGGAATCAATAGATGAAATCCAACAACGATAATCCACATCAATTTTCAACAAACAACAAAAAACTTCCCTTACCTCTTGTCAATTCAAATAGAATAGAAAGGAAGAGAAGGAAGAATGGTACAACCCTAACTTGAGATTCTTGGCTCCACAAGCTTCAAATCTCTTAACTCAACCAAGTGATTCAACTACAAAGAAGAAGAAGGGAAATTTTTTTAGAAAATTAAGAAGAAGGTTCTAAGTTTTATAGAGTCTCTCTTTAACTTCTCTCTAAAAAATTTTAAAACATGAACTTATGAGATTCATATCTTAAGAAAAATCTTATATATCCTTCCTAAAGCTAAACCGACTTAACTATGACTCAACTATCTCAAAGACAACCTAACTCTCAATGCCCCTTGACTCCAAAGTTCTAAAACAACAATATTAACAATTCACAACTAAATGTACAATTAACATATAATTAAATAAAACACCTCAAGATTAATAGTGTTAGAATCATATTTGGAGGGTAGGCAATATACTAATTTCATATAGGTTTAGTTAAGCATGCTAAGGTCGTGGTAGGTTCATATCCATGTTGTTGTATCTATGATAATAATACTAGAATTTTTTTAGTTTAAGTGACAAAACTTGAGAAATCAAAATAAGTTGTTTAATAGGTGCATGGGTGGGCTGAAGTTGTCTATTCTTGACCTGGAAAATATATGTCAAATGTTGTGGTTCGGTAGGATTAAGCCACTTAGACTACTCATCTTAGTTGTAGGAGATCTTCATAAGTTGATATGCATGATGACATATTAATTGTTTAAAGTTGTTAAGTTGTGTATGAAGTTGATTGTGTTGAGAAAGTTGTAAGTTATGAATGATGATTGAAGTTGATGTTATGTTTTGAACTAACTTGTTGATTTAAGTTGTTTATGTTACTTTAGTTGTGATCTTATTACTTGTTATTATGTGGTTTCTTTCACAAGCTTATCCTTTCCTTTCATTGTTGTTGGAGTATAATGATTATATTTAGTATGAGAGCAAAGAAGGATTAGATTGGATGGCTTGCTTTAGTGAAAGGTCATGTTGGAGATTACCTGGTTTAGAGTTGTACTATTCTGATACAATATATTTGTTTAAAGACGTTTGATTAGCAATAGGATTTTATGATTTCAATATTTTGTACTTAGATGTATATTGTATATATGTATAGGGCATATACATAACTCTTTAAGGGGTTTTATATTTTTCATATAAGCAAAAATCGTTTTATGTTTTCTACACCCTATACATATATCTGTTACATAAATGATCAAGTATTATTGCATGAGAACCCTAATGTAGTTGATTGCTTTATGTTTTCCACTACGTAATAACTATACTATATTAAGTGTAATGATATGTCGAGTCATTACATACACCAAAGTTTTGGATACATTAAAATGAGTTTCCTCTCCAAATATTTTGTTGTCTAATTTTTTCACAATAATTATTTTATTTAAATTTTAAATATAGTAGTGAATTTTTTTCAATTTTATTCATTTATTTTAAGGAAAATAATTTTAATATTGAAAATTTTATTTTTATTTGATTAAAAAATATTAATGTTAATTAAATTTTATGTCAAAAATAAAAAAATTAATATAAATATTTTATGTTAATTTTTAAGTTAATAATGAATAATTTTTATAATTAATATTATTATTTAAATTTTAAAATGGAGTAGTCATTATAATGAATTATATTGAAAAATATTTTTGAATTATCTCTCTAAATTTTTATTTATTAATATTACATCACGTTTTATCGTTAATTTTTCACAAAATTTTTTATGTTGCCAATTTTTAAAATATTTTTATTTAAATTTTAAACCAAATAGTATTAATAATTAGTAAATTTGTATAATTAATAAATAGTAATAAAATGTTAATGTAGCATTCATTAATATTTAATTACATTAAAATATTAAATACATATTTTTTTTATCTATTTATTTATTATTTTTGGCATAAATTATTGATTTTTATAAGTTTTAGCGAAAAGTTTTGATCCTTTCAAAAGGAAGAAAGAAATTTGGCAGAACCTGTTGGCTTTAAATGTTTTAAAATATATCAAATATAATAAATACATTAATTTATTATATTAATCTACAATAACTTATATATTAAAAATTAATAAATATAGTATTTTTTAATATAGATCCATAATAATCTGCATATAAAATTTATTATTTACATATAAAATTTAACAAATATAAAATTATATATATTTTTGAAATATACATAAAATTATAAATATTTTTCTTATTTACATTATAAAATATTTATAAGAAATAAATATTAGAATATTTTTTGTTCTTATAATTTCGTTACTTCTTCATTTTTATAAAATATTATTTCATTATTAATATATTAATTTTTCAATAGTTAATGAAAATATGATTAATTAATATAAAATTTTAAAGACAGATTTTGATAATAAAAAAATTTTGAGAAAAGAAGTTGTTCGGTTTTTTAAGAGAAGAAGTTGTTCTTTTATTATTTATAAATTATAGATTTTTTTTACAAGATTATAGATTTTTTTTGTTACAAAATTATAGATTTAATTTAATGACTCCTTTTATTATTTAAAATTTATCTCTGATTTTTAAATTAAGAGTTGAAAATTGACTTGGAAAGACCGAAAGAAATATTACCTTAGAAGATGGAAAATTATTAGAAGGGTCTTCTCATTAGTATAGATAATTAAAATTTATAGTTTTAAGTAACTGAAGAAACAAAATACAAGTCAAGTCTTAAGCACAGTGGGTCTTGAAGTTTCTAAGCATTTTCTCGTTCCAAAAAATTGAATCAAATCCCCCAATTTCTCTCTTCAATTTTAGGGTTTCGCTTTGCTTCCCTTTCTCACTCTTATTCGTCTCTAAATTTGATTCAAGGTTCAATCTTTCAACTCTCCGCTTTGCGTTCTCCGCACGACATAGTCATTTAAGAAATTCATTTGGTTTTCCTCGGATCTTTCTTCTAGAAACTGTATCCTTTCTAAAGTTTTTTTTTTTTTTTTTTTTTTTTTTAA